GTAGAAGTGTATGCAAATATATACCACAGCATCACACAGTACCCCCATAATATGTACAATTTCTATGTATCAGGAAACATTTAAAAACTTGAAACATTTCAGGAGCAATGGCCCATGCATTTACAAGCACATACATAGAGTGTACACTATGATAGAAGGCAGTAAGTCATGCCATAAGCAGGGCAAACTGACAAGTACCAGAGAGGCAAGGGTTGTGGAACATCATTTTCCCTCCAATATTCACTTCCTCTTCACACCATACTTCCACTAATAGTCTTTCTGCCTTCCTAAATCACCTGAGAAGCTCCAAAAATTTCTCATTGACACATCTGTACATGTTATTGCAATTTACTATTACACTTTTACACAGCCCTGTGAAATCAGCAGTCCCAGGAGTTATGTGTATATTACAGTTAATTATTTAACTGATTAATTATCCCCCATGTCTGCCACTGACTGCTGCTTTAGATTTTCTTTCCAAAATATCACTACCTCCACTACCAAACCCTTCCTTGGCCCCCATGACTTGTCATTTGCGAAACTGGATAAACTTCCTACTTTACAGACTGTTAAGGTACACTTAGTAAAAGCAAATCAGAGCTGTAACAATTAGTGTGCACTCATCAAATAATTACTCTTCTCCTTCTATCCTTGGTATATCTCCAGCACACAAGCACTCGTAATCCATTCTCTATATAACATACCTGGTTCATGAAAACAATGTAGACTTCCTATACTTTCTACTTGTTTATCTTTTATTGATCCCAAGGCCAGAGCCTCAGAATATGACAAGTTAATCTGAACTCAGAGAAGAAACAATAGAAAATTCCAGGTACGTCTATCCCAAAGTAAATCCACTCCCAGTGTCTCTCAAAAACTTTACCTTCACAGTATAGGGTAGTATTATCAATATTTAGAAGCTATGGAAGTTATTGAAAGTTAGGATCTAATCTGCATTTTATGCCTAGAAAAATCCTATATATCCTTCATGATTCAGTTCAGGTGTGATTTTTTACTTTATTTGGGAGAGAGAGGGAGGAGAGAGAGCTTCCATCTGTTAGTTCACTCCCCAAATGCCCACAAGAGCTGGAGCTGGACCATAGTGAAACCAGGAACCAGGAGCCAGGAACTCGATCTGGATCTCCCCACAGAGTGGCAGTGAATCAAGTACTCATGCCTCCCAAGATGCACATTGACAGAAAAATGGACCAGAAGCTTTTCAGATATCATCAGTGTTTTAATTTTGTTCATATTACAAGATTTATGGATGTTTTATTTTTATTGTTTATTCATATATATATACTTTTCCATATATATACACTTTTCCTTTATGATCTATTACTTCAGTTTATACAAAAAAAGAAATGAGGTTTTCACTTACTCTTTCCTCTATTTCTAAACTCTTCATTATTCCATGAGAAAATTCTCTTTAATGCATCTGAACTTTAGTGGACAACATGCCAAATCTTTTTGAGAGGTAATAAGCCACCAGTCAGCCTTCAATACCTCTCCTTTTGACACTATATCATTCTGGCTCCCAGTGAAGTGCCCTTCTATATTCAGATAAAACAATTCCAGAGTATCTAAGAACAATGGAAAAGCAGGGGGAAAAGATCTTACCTTTTCCATTAAATCCAGGTGTTGTATATCAGGAAATGAGATGGTGAGATCTTAAAAGCCACCTCATGACTACATTCTGTACTGAAGCAGAGCTGCATGGGGCGAGAGGCTAAGTCAATGCCAAGGGCAAAGATGGATAGGAAGCTGTTCTCTCCTTGCCATAGGATTTATATCTGTATGCATGCAGTCAAGGACAATCGACATAAGAACTGCTTGAAGCACTTGTTAAAACAAAGATTCGTGGGCCCCATTGTGGACCTACTGAATTAGAATATTAATAACTGGTGCCTAGAGTCTATATTTTGACAGGCTTCTAAGACATGCACTGAAGTTGGAGGCTCACTGCCACATATAATCAATATTTAATAACAATTGAGAATACATGGCATGCCTTGTGCAGTACCTCCTAAAAAGTCTTAGGAGATCCAGTCATCAATATACATATTATGAACTAGTGGTGAAACTTAGGGATTGAAAATAAATGCATCTTAGGCCACATCATACCTGGAGTACTGTGTTTGGCTGTAGAGCAACAGGCCTCAAGATTGATAATATCAAAATGTGGTGTGTCCTTAAACATACAAGTCAGCTGATCAAAAGTTGGAGTCAAGGACAAATTCAGAATAATCAAAGATGTTAAACATAGACCCTTGAATAATCTGGGGAATATGACTATCTATGAACGATTGTCATATAGAAGAGTTCTTCTGCCAAGCCAGTTGCATTCATGCTCTTAGATGGTATAAGGGTTGATGCTATAAACTTTTCCCTTTGGCTACTGATTCATTTTGACTTACACATATCTAGATGGAGTCACTGTCTTGACCTTCAGCCCTCCCTAGATCTTTCCACCCTGATTTCCCATGGGCACATCAAACTCCACATGGCTAAACGCTATTATTTTCATTTTCACCAAAGAATCTGAGGCTCAAAAGGGTTAAAAATGTCCCTTAGGTTCCAGTAAAGAAATTAAACTAATTCTTACTCTCAAATTTATACTCTTTCCATTTTTATGACACTGGCTTCCATGTTATCAGAGGAGAGGAAGACACCAGAACATTGTGTATCTATCAAGCTCTGAAATGGAATAGCAGGTTTCACAGGAGAGTTGGTCCTTCTGAATCAATAAACCTTTTCTAATAAATGCTAATCCTATATTTCCATGCAATTACATTAAAAGAAATAAATTCCTGGCACTATCAGAGGGAAAATTATTAAGTGGAAGAAGCTATAAAAGTCTCTTCCCCTCTCTGGACCACAATTTCTGATCTTTAAAAAAGATCTTTGAGATTCTATAGAAGACAATGTTCCATATAAGGTACAGACATTATGAATAAACAGTCATGCCATTTAGCCTGTGTAATAGCTCAACTGTGTTCCAACACCATCTTCCAGGACCTGCTGGACTACAGGCTGATCATATATCTTCATGATATTCTCATCTACTCCGGGCACCCAGCCCAGCATGACGCACTTGTCCACACAATCCTAACTCGCCTCTGGCAATACCAGCTCTTTACTCGGCTGGAGAAGAGATCAGGTAAAAGTAGAAATTCTGGGACAGATTTCCATAAGGAAGGCTCTCATGTGTCCTCCCAAGGCCACATTACTAGCTGCATGACCTTGGGCAAGTCACTTTATCTCTCTGAGCCTAAATTTCCTCATCATTAAAAAGTAAAAGCACTAGACATACACCAAATGCTTAGAAAATACTCCCTTTCTTCAATGACACCCTTGGCTCTACCACACTAGTTAGTCCCTGCATTTGTGAGGATCCATTGATCCTTATCAAAGTTTGCCCTTTACCTCTCTTATCTGATCCTTCCATCAATCAGATGAAAGAATACTCAATAAATGCCCATGATGATTCTCAATCTGTTACACTGTAGCAATTAAGGCTACACATGACCTTAGAACAAATTTAACTACCAGCCAGCTTCTGCTTAATGCTTCCTATGGTAAAGAATTTATGCCCTTCTAACGCTAACTGCCACCCAATAATCGTAATCCTGCTGCTGTGGGTAAAACCATTCAAACAAAACCCTCTTTCTTGTGACCTCTCTACAGCTAGTGGAAGATAGCATTCATACTCTACTTTAACCTCTAGGTCTTCTATTTTATATTCATGCCTCTTTAAAAGATAACAGATATAACTGAGTACAATTCTTACAGTGAGATTTTACCAACTCGGAAAAAAGTGGAATAATCATAGCCCTCATTCTAGATGATAATGATTTTTCCAATTTTTTTTCTTGCTTAATGGCAGTGTTATATCATATTTAGTCTTATTAAATTTATTTTGCTGTCATCATATCATTATTGTCTAGTAAATTCTTCTAGGATTCCTTATTCTGCCATTAAGCATATATATTTTCTATCCTATTCCAGTTCTCCCTTAACACTGTTCCTTTATTTTCATGTTATTCATTAATTAAAAGGTTGAAACTAAGACAGATCTAGGTACAGAGGCCTGCAGCCCACCATGAAGGAGCTCTCTTTGCTACAGAGGAAGCCATCTTTGTCATGCCTCAGTACACCTGAGAGTCTTTCGGCCACTACTGAGTTTCATTAATCACAATAATTCAAAAAAATATTAGAGGTATCCAAAAAAGTACAGTCCTCCTAATGGGAAGCTAAGATAGCAGAAAATGCCTGTGCTATTTTGGAAAAACAAAACAAAAGTAATCCTTATCCAAGTGATTCTGGAAAAAAAAAAAAACTTTCAGGGAACATGTTTTTCCTTTCTCATCCACGTCTAGAGAACAGCTGCGCCAGGGAAACATATTCTGTAATTAGCAGCCTTTGTAGGTAGTTTCTTCATTTGTGTGATAGACTGATTAATGCACAGCTCATATGTATCATATCATATGGTATCAATAAATGATAGAGGCATATTATATTACCTATCACAATGTCTGAGAGGAAATAAGTAGCATTTCTTAAAATGAAAAAAACAAAATCAGAATCCAACTAAAGAAATAGTGTTCCAAATTGTGCTTCCTCCATCTTGTTCAGCAACAATAAAAATCTTTGTCATGTCCCTTGCTGCAATACAGATTCACCATACCCATCACTTGAGTGACCTGATAGTCACTTAAGTGCCTATCAAGAAACATAACATTTCTCAGCCACAAAGCTAAGTACAGAACACAGTTCCCTGATGGTATATTATAGTCACAGATATTTTGAAATTTTTCTTCAAAGTTGAAACTATAGCCCGGTTTGGTTCCCATCCCCCTTATCTGCGAGGAGAAATCAGGACCTTCATGTCTTTGGAAGCCACATCACTGCCATTCCTGATGCTCTCTCACATGATCCTGCTGTTTAGAAGAGGGTGGCAAAATCCAGATCAGGTAATTCAGATTTTTTGGGGGGGCACAGGATCATTCATCCTAACATGCATATGCCTACAGTACTAGCTGTGACACCCCACCTTGTTCTCATGTGTATATTTGACATGACCCCTTCTCCCACATCACCCCTCGCCTCAGGTCACTGTAGTTTATGATGCTGCATACCACATTCACGACTTCTGGTAGCCACAGGTCCAGGGTGACGTAATGCAAGAACTGAATCTGGAATCAGAGACATCTGTGAGTCTGCAATACCGGAAGACATTTTATGCTGTGGCTTTTCTTAGCGACACTCTCATGCTAATCAACATATTTCAAAGATAGCAGTTACTTACATCTATTTTGTGCCTTGTGGTTTATAAAATGCTTCAATGACAATTTCTCCTTTGCTCCTCAAAAGAGTTCAGTAACTTCCTTTGGGGGTAACATTGCTGAAAATTTTAAAAATAAATTATCTGTATTAGTTTAATTATGCATGATTCCTACATGCATGTGCAAAAATAATCCCTGCCACACAATCTAGTTTCATCAGACAAAAATATGGGATATGACTAGTTTTCTCCCAAAGGCATTAAACTCTAATATTTATCTCTTTCAGAATGGATTATATTAACCTTATTTTACAAATAGGAAAACAAGTTTCAAGGAGATTTAATAATTTGTTCAAGGTCTATATAGAAAATAGCAGAGCTAGGACTCAAAAATCTGAGTTGTCTGACTTCAAATCTGATTTTTTTTTCCTACCTCAACATGTGGAAGTACTATTCAACTGCCTTGTTAAAATGGCCGCCATTCTCCCTATCGGGAAATAGGCAGTAGCTAACTGAAATCACCTTGTATAAAACATATATTTCAACTTACAGGCTCCTAAACCAACTTCTCTCACTAAAAGGTTTGGTTTCTTCCCAGGTAACCAAGCTCTTATGCCATTCCCGGAAATCCTCTCTACAGGTATGCTGCCACAGAACCTCATCCATCTGCAGAAAAGATGTTGAGAACACACTGCACCAGTGCTCGAACCCCACCCTCAATCCTGCAGCATTATGTCACTCGTCATCAAAGCAGCTGGCCTGCCCGCTGTCCCACTGCAGAGGTTTTACACAGACTAGAAATGCTGCAGTCTGAATTTTTCATTTGTCATCCTCCATGTTTTCCAGCCTCTATACCTTTCACACTGCGGTCCCCACAAAGGACAAAAACAATCACGAGGGTGAAATCCAGACAACACAGCCTATTTTGACTTCAGCCCACAAACGGAGAGATCAATAATCAGATTTTCATATGAGAGATTATCTATTGGTCTTCAGCACATCTCTAAACAGCTGCAAGTTATACTCCTCTGCGCAATGCTAATGAATGTGCTCATTCATTCACGTCTCACTACAAATAGCACTTTCTCCACAGTTTATCAGTCTCTCCTCCTAACCTAAGCAGCAGCCCTGAAGAGCTAAACTGCACCATGACTCTTCACGGTTAAAGAGACATGATGATTGTCCTTCACAGGACTATATTGATTTCAACCAGAGGTGTAGGCAAACACAAAGTCTGGCTTACACAGTCAGGAATCACATAAAATGAAATCATATAAAATCCAGTATTAGATCAAGCTAGACAACGCTACTGGCTGGTATTGACTCTTTTTGGACAAACCAAGGCAGATTCCCAAATCTGGCATTATTTCCCCCAAAATGGCCTCTCATTTACCCCCTCTCCACCCCCCAAATAAGCTCCACCATCTTTGGATAAACTCTTTTGAATCTTCCCTCCAACAACTCTGGATTCTGTATTTTCTTATCTCCTGATTTGATCTGTCTTCTTTCCTACTTTCAGCTCCATTTTAATTTCTATAAGTACCTGGTTCCTTGCTTTGGCTCCAGTCTGCGTGATCTTCGGCCATCTTCCTGGGCTTAGCCACCTCAAGCACCAGCTCTGCAGAATTAGTTTAAACTGGACAAAATAGATTTGAATTGGTCAAAACTGATTTCTCCTGTTAAGAAAAGAGCTGAACTGATCAAGAGCAACATCTGACCATTTTAAACCTATTTAGACCAGTTTCACATTGCTTATTCAAGAGCAAGCACTGAGGGCATCAGGATGGATCAAGAATGAGATGAGTCTGCTTCAATCTGCTTGGAAGACCAATGGCAGGCTGGGCGGGGGAGAGGGGATGATGCAAAAAGGACCTGATGCTAAGGACCATACCATTTGTGGTGGTGATGCTGGAGGGGAGGGTGGGGATCAGAAAGAACCTAGTAGTCAGTGAGGCAGGATCAAACCACTGTGGACCCCGGAGGAGGGGCTAAAAGAAACTGATGCTCAGTGACGCAGGATCAAATCATTAGCGTGAGACAGGAGAGGAAAAGATGCTGATGCTCTGCAGACAGGATCAAACCACTGAGATAGGTAGGGCGCTAAATCGGGATGCTTTTTCTCTTAGGCGCCATCAAGCCTCTCAAAGATAGGAATGGGCAAGTAGAGGGGGAATTAAAACTCAAAGGACCTAGCAGTCTATGAGACAGGGTCAGTGCACTGTGGAGGACTGGCAGAAAGGGGATGCTGATCTAAGAAGCAGGACCAAACCACTGTGGAAGGAGGGGAGCAAAAAGAAACTGAAGTATCTTAAAGCAAATTTAAATTTCTTCTAAGGAAGTAAAAGAGGACATTATAATATGTAAGGCAACATCAAACTCTGCTTTTATAATTAACAAAGACCATACCACATATTACCTCATTTGCTCTTTACTATACTTTGATGGTTGGGTCAGACCATCTTACCACAAAGGCCTCTACAGTCATTCTCAGCTGCCCCTAATGGTTGCTAGGCAGCCAGCCATCCAGCAGCTGCTGATGAACCTTGCCCTTTTGACATTAACCCCCAGGTTTCTGGAAGGGAAATAAAGTGTATATAGGAAAGCCCAGGAAGTAAATTGAGACAATATCATCAAATATTAAGTGGGAGAACTGGGAGACACAGATCTTCAAAAATAAAAGAAAAACAGCAGAAAATTGGGAAATGAAAAGCACAGTTCTACAGATTTATAAAGCATCAAGCCCAATCCCCCATTAGAACCTTGAGTTCTTTCGTGACATTCCTAGACCGTGGATCTTGAATATATTTAGTGAAAATGCTGTAGTTCTAACTCCTGGACAACCCACTTCGTTTCCCTAAAATTCTGATATTTTAAAAATTTGAGCCCAAATTTCTTCCCCACAGTTTCCACTCAGTAGTTTGAGCTCTGTCTTTTAGAACAGAGGTTGGCAAACTAGGACTTGCAAGGCATATTCAATCTGCTGCCTATTTTTGCACAGGGTATGAATTAAGATTCTTTAAATGGCTTTTAAAATCAAAAGAAGAATAATATTGTATGACATATGAAAAATCATATGAAATTCAAATTTCTGTCCATGAATAAAGTTTTGTTAGACCACAACCAGACTCATTCATTTGCATCCTATCTGTGGCTGCTTTCTTATCACCACAACAGATCCAGTAGCTGCATCAAAGGCATGATGACTCTTAAAGCCTAAATTATTTCCTATTTGTCCTTTAAGAGAGTAAGTTGTATGACTCCTGATCTAGAGCAATAAAGTATCAGTTTTCAACCAAACTCCACTGTAGATAGGAAAGAAAATAAAGAAACCTCAAAAAGAATTCCAAAGTCTCAAAGCAAGGGATAAGGCTTATATCAAAATTCTCTAAGCCCACAGACAACTTCACATCATTTCCCATGGGCTCCAGGAGCTGGTATAGAGTATGGAGTCTCTAAGAACTAAAGAACAGCTGGAAAGAAAGGTTGGGGTCAGACTGTGAAAGATCCTGACACCAAGTAATGTTGTCTAGCTATCCTGAAAGCAAGCAAAGAGCCACTGCTGGGTTTCAGGTTGGGATAGGGGTGAATGACAGGGTAAAGGCAAGACTTGGTCAAGATGATTCATGCTTCCAGACATCACTCTGGTTCAATCCCAGCTCTAGGCAAGATGTTCTTGTCTGACAAGCTCAAGTCATTCTGGTCATTCAGATTCAGAATGTTCTAAACACAGGTACCCTGGCTCAAACACAATTTGGCTAGAGGTCAATAAACCAAATTATATTTCAGACCGATTTCAAATGGCATCTGCCTTTGGAGCAAAAGAAAATTCTTACCACATCTTTATCTGAGTCCTGTTTACTTTTCAATACCCAAATCAACCCATCCCTCCCCATGAACTCTATGCCCTCCTCTGAGTGCCCTTTTTTCCCCTGTCACTCATGCCACCCTATCTATACCATGTTGGTAGTGAAAGTAACTCTGTGGAAATGGCCTGCTTCCTCAAATCAACTTTGAATTTCCAAAAGCATCATACCTGAGACTTGTTTGTTTCCCATAGCACTTAAGTCATTGGAAGGATGTTCATTCAATAACTTAGTGGCCCTTCAGGGTGAGCAGATCCCCACTTAGGGGACTTCAGGAACGTTGGGAATGTCAGCCACACATTGATTCTTCTCATCTGAATAGCCTGGCAATGAGTTGAGGCCTAGCGACAATCTGCAGCCAGGTCTGAGCTACAATGACCACTAAAAGAGCCGAAACTTTTTCTGGCCCTGATGTCACAAGGTTCCCAGTTCTCTGTTGTTCTTGCCTTCACGGGCTCAAGGTTGAACACCTTGGTCAGGAAGATAAAACCCAGAGTTTGAACTGCCAGGCATCCAATCCCATTTTCCACGGCCTCTGTTGATCCTGGACAAAAACTTTAGGCTGGACTCAACACATTCAGGACGAAAATAGGCCCTTGGCTGGGAAGGCTGGCTTTCCACAAAGTGCTCTTTTCCCCAACGGCCAAAGCAAACGCCGCCGGCCGGGGCAAAAAGCCAGCCAGCCGCTCCCGACCTCTGCCGGCCAGCACCAAGGAGGCCCAGAGTCAACAGTGCATGGACAGGTCTGCTATTTTGCTCCTTCTCATTTCTCAAACATCAGATTTCCCTTCTGTGAATCTAAACAACCAAACAGAACTAAGTCAGCCTTAGCCCCTAGAAGAAAATCAAAACTTTCCCATGGGCCACAATTGCTGAGAGTCAGAGACAGCAGGATCCTCCAACCCCCTCCCCTCAGCCTCTCAAGGATGTGCAAGGCCAAGCCACCTTCTGCACTGTTCAATTTGCTTTCCTGTGTCTATGTTGGAGAGAGGAAGGAGGTACCCAGGGATGAGCTATCAACACCCCTTGTTCCTGCTGCCTCACAGGCTGTGATAAGACTCAAAACAGAATCCTGTCAATCATTCCTCCTGAATGACAAAGCCAGTCACCCCTTATGATGGGGGCAGGGTCCTGGTTCCAAATACCAGCTAAGAGGGACCTGGAGAGAAGAAGAAAGGTGGAAAAAAAAAAAAAAAAGGAGACTGAGGAAAGCCAGGCAGAAACAAAGCAAAAGATTTTTTGCTCTGACATATAGAAGTCTCTTCTGAAATACTGCCTTTTGGTCAATGAGTGAGCATAGGGGTGTGGAAAAAATCTTATAGTGGCAAAACTAAAAATTGGCACTACTTTGATAATGAGGTTCTTTTGTCTGTACCCAGAGAAACCACACTCCTGTCCCAGAGTTGGGTGACCTAGTGCCGATGTACAAGACACCAGAGACTGTAAAGGATTATTATGAAAAAGAGAAACATCCCTTTTCAGGGATAGTCAATATCTGGGTCAAAGTACAAACTACCTCTGTATTATCCAGGTAATATTATGAGTAATTAGTAACAATAATAGTATTAGTAATAGTATTACTATTCTAGAAGTCCCAAATGTAATAGTCTCTAAATCAACACACATAAAAGGTATAAGAAAAGGTCATGCCATTTAAAAGTAAGAATTCAACAAATATATAACATAGGCCAAAATTTGAGTTCCCTTCCACTTGCAGTTACTGTTTTTTTTTTTTTTGAGATGCTTGTTTACAGATTTCTCATGCTTGCTGTAGTCTTACTCTAAGTTTTAGTTATACAGAACTCAGGTTTTGTGTTACAATATGAGGAACAATGTCTTCTACCTCACTAAATAGGAAAGAGGAAGTATCAACCTCAGTTGCCACTGATTTCCCTCTTGTAGCCTTAAAAAAAAAAGAAAAAAGAAAGAAAAACAGCTTCTGGGTAAGGCCCACACAGACAGGGTCAAGACAATCATAGAGGAAAGGAGCCTGAGTCATGCCTGAGCCCTGGATGAAGTCTTTCTGAACTCTAGACTTTCCTGTAGCAGAAGCCAACAAGTCTTCTGCTTTATTTCGGCTCATTTCAGTTGGGCTTTTTATTGTAATTTGAAACAAAAAGCATCATAAGAGTTAATTTCCTAAAGTTCATGCGTAAGAACACAGTTCCAGTATTGGACCCCATGAAACATCACTCTGAACCTTGCAACACAATGTGTTTCTCCATCCTTTGTGTACTCATAGCTCATTGCACACAACTTTGCCCTGTAGTGTCTCACTTCTTCAGATATTGTCTTGCCCTATAAAGTCAATCCGTGTGACTCATAAAATGCCTAGCACACAAGAGACCTTCCACAGATGTGCGTTACTCTAAAATGAAATAAAATATTAAACATGCAGTCTAAGTTAGTTTAACTTTCCTTATGGTAAGCAGAATAATGTCCGGGAGGTTCTATTCTTACCAGAAACACATCTCATAGACCTGGCCCACTTCATTCCCAAGAACACACAGAACAGCTACAAATGGCAATGCCTGGTTGGCTAATCTAGTATCCAACACCTAGCACTACACACAAAATTATTCCATAAATGAGTTGCTAGGACAAGTCAGAGGTCCCAATTGAGCCAACCCACACAGCAGCTATACAATGATGATCAGCACAAATGCAGCTAATGGTTTCTCCAATCAAAGCAGCACAAGGCTTTCTTTCTATTTTCTTCAAGAAGGTCCCTTAAACATACTCATTCAATTATCTCCTCTGCAAGTCAGCGACAATGCAACTGGCTTTTCCTTGTGTTTATGCAGAATTTGGGCCTTTAGGAAATTCCAGTTCCTCTCTGCACAGTAGTTCCCTTTTCTGAATTCCCAAAGTGCTTTGCGTAGCCTTTAATTAGGTCTTTTGTCATTGGCTTCTGATTATTTGTGTGTGTGTGTGTGTCTTTCCCACTAGACT